TTTTTTTTTTATCATGCTTTTTTACAAAAGCAAGGAAGTGTACACAAACAACAAACATACATTTGAACATATAATGATCTTGGGTTCCAGCAGATGAAACAGGTTTTTACCATCAATCTAACCATTCGTCAATACACGTAAGCATCCAGTAAACTGAAACAGTACATTAACAAAGCTTAAGGTTAATCAAAGGATTCAAAAAATCTCCGGACAAATGATAATGATGATGATGATGATGAAGATGATGATGATAATGATGATTTTGTTGATACAGGAGAGATACGCAACAGCAACAGCACCACTAACGACAGTGACAGAAAATGATAGCAGCTGCCAACCGCAAGCAATCGCATCGATCGGCCGCAGCAATCAGCAGTTACTGTTTTTCCCCCATCTCTCTGTATGGTTGAATATATCTGTGGTCGATATACTCGGCGGTGGTTGTAGCGGTAGCGGTTGCACGCGTTTTCTGGTTGCTTTGCCGTCAGCATTTTCTGATGAACTTTGGTTGTGGCAGGTTCAATTCTCGGTTAATAAGCATTCGATTCGGTTGGGTTCGGTCGAATTCGGTTCGGTTCGGTTCGACTCGTCGGCACAGACGACTGACAGCAAATGAATCGCGCTCCATTACAGTTGATTTGTTTTCCTCTCAACTGCAGCTTAGTTTCACGTTCCCTTTCTTTTTAGTTCAGATTCAATTTAAAGTTTCACAGATTTGTTACGCTCTTTGGTGATATTTTATCTAAAATTGAATATCTGATAATTTTGTTAGCTGTTTGCCTCGATGTTAGTGACAGTAGGCAAATGGCAAACACACGATTGCAAATACAATTTCGCAACTTTTTATTCACTGAAATCGGTTTTGAATAAATCAGTTTAGTTTCCTCTAATTTTTTTTCTTTTGAGCTTTTCTTTTTTTTGCTTTTTGTTTTCTGTTTAACTCCGATTTTTTTTTTTTCTCGTTGATAATTACTTCGGCTAGCTTTTTTTCCTTTTTTTTTTTTTCTTCTCAATTTTGCCCTGTTTATTTTTGCAGCAGTTAGTCAGTCGAAATTCTTTTTTTTTTTTTCTTTGCACTTAATAAGCCTTTTGTAGGGGTTGATCAAAAAATATTTTTTTAGTACGTTTTTTTGCAAACCCTGAAGGTTATTGGAGAGTTTGCGAAGTTTTTTTTCCGCTTATTTTCATTTTGCTCTTTGTTTTGTTTTGTTTTTTTTTTTTCTGTATCTTTTCTAAAGAATTAGTTTAGAGTAAATGGAGGCGAAGAGAGGAAATGAGGTTGGCGGTGGTTGGCGGTGTATAAAATAAAGTTGCCTGCAAAAGATGAATTTTTTTTAAAAAATGTACTTTAGGCTTTATTTTTTTTTATTATTATTATTTTTTTTTTCTAGTTGTTTCGTAGATCCAAATGATGCGGGTAATTTTTGAAAGTGACTTTGTTATTTTCATTACTTTTTCTTTTTTGCATCGCTGTAACTCGGGATAACTTTGGCGCAAGCATTGTATGTGTTAGTGCCTA